AATAGATTGAAACCCTTCCTAAATGATCTTATTGGACCCCATCAGGCCAGCTTTATCAAAGGAAGACATACTAGTGACAATGCCATTATTATACAGGAGCTTATTAACCAATTCAAAAATGCAAAAAGGAAAAGCCTAGTATGATTTTCAAAATCGATCTAGAAAAGGATTTTGATCGATTGGAATAGTCTTTCATTTATCGTATGCTTAAATTCTTCAAATTTTCTCCTTCCATCTCCACATTAATCATGAACTATATTAGTACCAGCAAAATTGCTATCTTAGTCAATGGTACCACTACTGAGTTTTTTATGTCTAGTAGATGCATTAGACAAGGTTGCCCTCTATCTCCCTACATATTCATACTCTGTATGAAAATGTTTTCTAGGCTCATCTCCCATGAAGTAGATGTATGCCAATAGGACCCTCTCCATCTTAGCCACCAAGTCTTGGGCATATCGCATCTATTCTTCACAGATGACCTAACCCTAATGGCCAAGGTAAATGAGAAATCATGCACCTCCATCAAAAGATGACTCTCACTCTTTTGCAAGCTATCAGGTCAAAACATCAACCTTCAAAAATCAAGGATAATCTTCTCAAAATATTTTAATACTAATATAGCAAAAGAGGTGGCGGATCTCTTCTCAATAAAAATTAGTAATCTCTTTGGAAAATACGTAGGATACCCTATTCTCCAGAATAAGCCAACTCCCAGGGACTACCAATTCATAATTGATAATATGCAAAAAAACTAGCTTCATGGAAAACAAAGTTCCTCAATATTGCTGGCAGAACAACCTTAGCAATTTCCTCCCTAAATTCTATACCAAGCCATGCAATGCAATATACCTATCTTCCCAATAAAGTCCTAAATCAAATAGATCGCTTGCAACGCAATTTTATATGGGGTTCTACTGATGAAACCAAGAAAATTCATTATGTAAACTGGGACACCGTCACCAGTCAAAAAGAGGAAGGGGGTCTTGGCATCAGAAAGGCCAAATCAAAAAACATTATTGCTCTAACTAAACTTACATGGAGAATTCTGACAAATCCTAATAATCTGGGGCAGAAATTATCATTTCCAAATATGCTAGTAAGAGCTCTAAAACTCAATCCTCTTTTATCTGGAAAATCATTCTTAAAAGATGGTCTATTTGTTCCAAAGGAATAAGGTGGCAACCTAGCATTAATTCTAACTTAGACATATGGTACTCGTCCTGGATCCCAAATACTCAAAATCTTAGGATGTGCATCGAAGGTCCTCTCACAAAGAATGAGTCATCACTAAAAATCAAAGACATTATCTCCTCTAGGAAATGGGATCTTTCCAAAATTTCATTTGGCATCCCCTCAGAGGTTAAATAAAAAATTGAGCTTATCCCTATGCCTTTGAAACAAGGTGGAAGTGATACTCCAATATGGAAACTAAACACTAATGGCCTCTTCACTAGTAAAAGTTGCCTCAATATCATTAAGGAAAATAACTCTACCCCTCAGCATGACTTCACGTAGATCTGGAATCTTAAATGCCCTAACAAAATAAAATATTTTCTATGGCAATGTCTCCACAACCGTATTCCATGTCGCCAATACCTTCACCATATAGGGATCAACATTGACAAAATATGCGCTATGTGTCGACAGATTATGAATCCCCTAGACATATATTCATTGGTTGCCCTATAACACAAACTCTCTGGCAGAATCTAGGGTTTGTCAATCTAAATACCACCGACAACTCTAATTGGCCAATGCAAATAAAAGACGTCACTCCTAGTATAAACTTAACTCATAATCATATGGAATGGAATGACTTTCTAGCCTTTGTACTATAGGGGATCTAGCTAAATAGGAACAACAATAACATCAATAACACTACTCAAAAACCATCTCTGCACAGGATCTTTAATCACTCAAATGAATTTCACTTCATGACCAGCGCAAACCAACTTTCAAAAGATACAATCCCTATTAAGATTAGATGGCATGCACTCCAGAAAGATGGTTTAAACTAAACATCGATGGGGCATTCACAACCAAGCATAGTGGCAGAGGTGGGGTTTTCAGAGATAGTTCTGGGAAATAGATTCTAGGTTTCAATAAATACTGCAAAGGCCTGTTCCCACTACATCTGGAATTGCAGGCACTCCATGAAGGGCTACGACTGGTAGTAAAGTTCGATCTATTTCCTATAGAAATAGATACGGACTCAACAAAGGTAACAAATGCAATCAATAATGGCCATGCAACCTTAAATAATCTTATTCAATCTTGCAGGTTGTTAATGCGCCAGAAGAAGGGCTTCCTGCTTAGGCATAACTTCAGACAAGGGAATGCAGTAGCAAATGCTCTAGCCAAGGATGCAAAAAATAAAGAAAACAAATACTACAAGCCAGGAGAAACTAAGCTTTTGGTTGATCCACCTACTTTTGTGAAACATCTTTATGATAAAAACTTATGTATGGAAAAGTATTTTGTTAAGCAACTATCGACTACTACCTGTAATTTGCTAAAAACTCTAGGAAATCAAAGTGTTGCTAGTGGTGACACTCCAGTAGAAATGGGGATACTGATGTACCCTACAGAGAATATGGGTTGTAATATGGTAACTATTACTTAGTATGCAATATAATATCCTTTTATTACTCAAAAAAAGAGAGGAACCTAAAACTTATATCAACTTATCACACTCCTAAAATTGGGTAGAACGTGATTGGCACCAAATCTAAGCAACATATCGAGCGAACACTAAACTAAGATGTACTAAAAATCATGACAACTGAATTAATTATAAAATAATATCATGGTATATTTATTAATTGAAAACTAAATTCAAACTGAGAGTATAGACGCCTCAATATTCTGTCTTTCTAGAATTGCATAGAGTCTAGCTGGTCCGCCTTCTCCCCGAGTTCCACCTCTGTTTACACCGCGCCCAATCTATGGCCAAACTGGAAGGGGTGTATTGTTTGAGTGAAAATCTACAAGATAGTAATTGACATGGCATAAGGAATCGTCATCATTTTTGTGGGTTGTATTGAGGCTATATATATGGTTTGTTGTGGTTGGAAATTGTTATAAATAGTTTTATTATGTAGTGGATGCTGTTGTTAAGCTTATCTATGTGCTAATTCAGTGGATTGAACAACATAGCATGAAAAATAAGATGTTGACGATAAAGGTTAAGGTGCTAGGTGTGTGGACTATATTTGAAGATTATGCTTATGATGTTTTGGGTTGAAAATGATATGGTAAGCATAAGTATGATGTTATATATGTTGTAAAGATTCATGGAAAAGGAATTGGATTCAAACCATATTTTGTTAATCGTAAATCGAGCTTGCCGCTCAAAATGGCTGTTGAACAAATCGGAGAGCTTATTGTGAATTATGCTATTGTTGTTTGGGCTGTTTGGTGACTTTTGGTAACATATGGGATGTAGCACAAATAGGGGAGGTGCTGTCCGTTTTCTTGTAGAATACTGGTTTCCAAGTATGAGAGTTACAACGCTTATATGATGACGGCGAAGTCGGTTTACTCATTGTAGACGTAAGAAGACCATATTGAGCTTGCTTGATGATTGGATAGAAGATTTCAAAGGTATGTTAAGGCACTTCCTTCTTTCTTTTGACATGATCTAAAATGAAATGAACATAAACGGTACGCTATTTCAGAACGGATCTACTCCTGGCAACTAAGGTTGCCCATGTTATTCTTTCCTTATAAAGTTATTCTAAGCAAGTATGTATGATCCTTAAATCATACTGAGGTTCATATTGATACTATGGATGTACATAATGTCAATCGAAGGTGCAACGACCTTATGTCACTCCGAAAGGTTTAGAACATGATTCCATGAGTCCAGCATGCATTATATATAGTATCTATTTTACTCTACTGAGCCGCGCTATAGTCGGCCGGGTACGACACCTATTGTGCAACCACTGATCAGTTGGGTTTACCGAGCTCCACGTGGGCCGGGTACGATTCTACCGAGCCTTATGATGGCCGGGTACGTTTTTACCAAGTCCTCTTTGTAGCTAACAACTTGTTTGGATGGTTAGTTACACATTGTATCGTATTACATTGCTATCCTAAAATAATATTTGTTTTGATTGTTTAGTTAAAATTTGTTGTATTGTATTGTTAAAGTCATTCTTCCGGAACAATAAAAGTCCTATTTTGTTAAACAACCGATTTGGTATGATGGGATTGTTTCCTATTTTTCTTTTAAATTATGCCTTAACTTATTACTTCATAATTCTATTTTACCCTTCACCTTTTTTGTATTTTAACTCCAAATCTCCAAACTATAAACTTCTTGTTCGTCCTTTTTTTTCTTCTTCTGCTGCTTACTATTCCCAGCCCAACGTCACAGGTAGTAAAAATGTGTTTTGCCTTCTTTTTTGTTTCATTTTTTCTCCTATTTTAATTTAACTCCAATTTTAATTACTTTAATATAGCTTTATACTATTGGCTGTTTTCCAATGTGCATAGTGTTATTATTTATCTTCATTTCTTTGTTCTGCCAACTCCACGGTTTTCGTTCGTTTCTTTATCATTGTTCTTTATTTTTTTTCTAATGATTAGTTCATCTTTGAGTTTAATAGAAAGAGATTTTCTTAAATTATTTTTATGCATAATTCTTATAAATTTAATCCTTAAAATAATTGAGAATATCTTAATAAACTTATCAGTTACAATACAGTACGATACAATCAAACCAAACAGCAAAATGTTATTTAACAACAACAAATTTCCCATGGATGCTACCTGAGTAGTTGCAGCCTCCCCTAGAGCTTGCCATAAAATTACATAATTTCATATTTCATATAATGCAAGAATAAATTTGGACTTTTTCTTAAAAACAAATTATGGATAAAAGTAATACTAGTAATTAAATGGAAGCCAACAAACAACATAGACAACTCACCACGAGAAAACTACTACACAAAAAACATTTTTCCCCCTCCGTAAAAGTCCCCCAAACACCTCAACTTGTCAACTTTTTAGACTCCCAAAATTCCACAAGTGAGAGAAACAGTTGGAAGAGAGAGAAACAATAATATCATAACAAACCAAAAAGCATCAAGCAAAAGATCAAAATCAACTCCTCAACAAAAGTCTTCATTTCTCTTTCCTCTCTCACTTTTCCTTTCAAAATTTTCCACACATCCAAAACTGCTGATGTTGGTTTTCCTTGTTGTAGTTTCTCTTACATCACGTGCATAGCACGTGCCTTTAAGATCTCGCCGACGGCGGCCTTCCATTACTTCCGGCGACACCCTTTACCCTCCTCGTTAATGGGTTCAAACCCAATTGTAGTTTCCGGGTCCTCAACCAACAGGACGACCCGACCCAACAACAACAAGAACAAGAACAACAACGATCCATGTGTTAGCTCTTCAGCTTTTGTGTTTTTAATTGGTTCATTCATCATTTTGGGCTCAATTTGTGGGCTTTATGTTCGGTTTTTGATGACCCCAAATGTCCACGCTGGACTCTCCGCCATTGGATGTAAAGAGGATGATGAGGGTTCATGGTCCATTGGTGTTTTTTATGGTGATTCCCCTTTTTCCCTCAAACCCATTGAAGATGTAAGCTTTTTTACAATGTATTGATTTGTTTCTTCTTTACTTTTTTGCTGAATTTGGGGTAAATGGTTAATTTTTATGCACAAACGGTGTAAGATATATTGGCACACAGGTTATTTATTAGGTAATTATAAGTAAATTTATTGATAAGCATTAATTGATAATTGGTAAAAATAGTAACTAACCAGCTAATATAGGATCAATTTTGTAAAAAATTTATTTTATACGCATTGTATATAGCTTAAATCCTTTTTCTCCAGATGGTCTGCTGTTTTCGGGTTAGGTTTCATTTTGGCTTAAATTTTTTAGTTTTGTACTGATTTTTGAATTTTTTGAGGTTCTAGGTTTTATTTGTATTTTTAAATGAGCAAAATTTGGTGATTATTTTGAATATAATTGGAAAACTTCAGGCTAATTGCATGCAAAGATGTAAGCTTTTCGCATTGTATGAGTTTAGTTAAATGGGTTTCTTAGATGATCTTAAGTCTGCTTTCTTGAGTTGGGTTTCATTTTTGCTCAAATTTTCAGCGTTGTACTGTTTTGGTTTGAATATTGAATTTTTTGAGGTTCTGGGGATTCTGGATATTTGTTAATTGGTCAAATTTAGGTGAAAGGATCTTAGGGTTAGTGATTTATTGCTTTTGGTCATGTCCTGCGTTGACCTCCAGATGGACCGGTCTGGTCTATAGGTGTGAAACCATGGTAAGTGAGGGTATTCGAAGAGGATCAGGCTTGAACTACAATCAGAGTTTAAATGGATTAACGTGGTCAGTGAGGATATATATAGCCGACCCAACATCTTTGGGACTGAGGCGTAGTTGTTCTTGTGGAAAGTTTCAGGCTAATTGCATATAAGGATGAGTATATTCAATAATCTTTCGCTCAAAGTTTGAATCTTTTTTAAGGCTTAAGGTTCTGGGTTTCTAGGAATTAATTGGTGTATGACTTTTGTGTCTGGAAATTTTTGGCAGACGAATATATGGAGGAATGAGAGTGCGGCATGGCCAGTAGCCAATCCTGTTATCACCTGTGCTTCAGCCTCTGTGGCTGGTTTTTCCAGCAATTTTGTCGCTGACCCCTTTCTTTATGTTCAGGTAACCGTTTTTTCTTTTCTCTATTTTCACTTTTTAATTCCTTGTTCATTGACTGAAGAGTAGTAAGTATCTATTAAATGTTTCTCCACAGTAAATTGGGTTTGTAGATTTGTTAGATGGGATTAACATGAAGCATCTTTAACATTTTTTAGGATGGGAAAGATGATAGTTATTTCTTAACAATATTCTTTTAGCTCCTTCTGGTGTTGCTTTACTTTGCAGGATTTTACATTTATTCATGCTGTGAATATGCCCAGCCTTTTGAGTTAATAATGTAACGAGGCATGGTTTAACTTAGGGTAGAAAGAAAGAAAATAAGAGGAACTTGACCTGCGTTCTCTTTTAGTCCTTCTAATTTTAATAACCCTTTGTTTTATTAGCAATATTCTTACTTGATAAAAAAAAAAAGTAGCAACTTTTTGTATACCAAAGAAGTCATATCAAAACATATGTTTGAAGTTGTTTATATATATCTCACGTTTTGCCGATCAACCATTCTTTTTGAAAATGAACCTATCAACCGTTCTTGTATCTCTACTTCTAATGTAACCCATTCTAAATATGTCCTTACTCCCATGCTCGTCAAATGGAGGGGAGTGAGTGTAGCATTCATCTAAACCAACTAATCTTTCAGTTTTTACTCTTCAATATCTTGTAAGAAGTTCCTTTGAATTAAGCCTTAATGACTCTGCTTCTTCCCTGCGAAATGGAATGGCAGATTTGTTTTTAAGAGCAGTTAACAGCGTATTTGATCTTTTATAGGTAAACAGAAGTTTTTGTTTAATTACACCAAGGGGTTCAACATTGCACTAGAAATATACCTAAATGGTCCAGCACATCCAAAACCACATTTATTCAATCTCACTTGTTTCAATCAAAGTTTAGACATTGTTATCTACCCTTTATACATATTACCAAAACATTATTCTTATAAATTATCCTATACCTTGTAAAATAATTATATATTACCTACTTTTATATCCCAACCAAACACTGAAAAATGATCCAGAAGATGATTTTCTAACTCCATATCATAGGCACCCTATATTCCACTCAAAACATAAGTAGTTATTGTCAGGGGTTTCTCTTTTAGTTCACCAGCATAGAAAGTAAAAAGAAAGTCTTGATTAAATTATTCGCCATTAAAAGCAGGCCGAGTTTCAGAATGTTATTGGGTGCATCATTTATGATCTGTCGGGCCTATTTTGCATAAGTAGCATCACATATATGATGTGTCTGTTTGGTGCTATTTGATATTTTATGTGAGTTATTTTCTTCTAGGGTGTTATGGCTCTGCTGGAATATTTAGTTTTCTCTCCTTTACTGCCTGCAGGAGCTTGATTGTTTGCTTGTGTTTTATTTGTTAACCTAAATTCTAAACTTCTCTTGCATTTCGATGTGGCGTGGAACATCCATAATCTGAGGTTTGATTATATAATTCAGGGAGATGTCCTTTATATGTTCTTTGAAACAAAGAATTCAATCACAATGCAAGGGGATATTGGAGTTGCAAGAAGTACTGACAAGGGAGCATCATGGGAGCAGTTAGGTATCGCTTTGGATGAAGACTGGCATCTGTCCTATCCTTATGTCTTTGACTATAATGGCAATGTAAGTTCTTGACTTCATGAACAATTAGCATGTCGTGCAACTCAATTCCATTCTAAACAATGTTAGACTTGCTGTGATAAAATCCTGAAGTTTGTTCCATAGAAAGTTTAATTTGGAAAAAGAGGGTCGCACCCAAGGGTGTGGGCTAGTGGTTAATGAAGTTGGAGGAGACGTTCAAATCTTAGCAGAGGAAAAAAACATTTGAAATATTAGGTGATTTTTTCCCATCCGCCTAAGCCTTGGTAGGACGAGTTACCAATACCTGTGCCAGTGGAAGTTGCAGGTACCCGGTGGAATAGTCGAGGTGTGCACAAGTGGCCTGAACACCATTGTCATCTCATAAAAGAAAAAGAAAAAAGATGGGAAAAGAGGGTCCATGGGGAAGGGAAGTAAATTAGAATGCTGGATCTGTGAGTATCATGTGCAGGCTCGTGGTAGCATGTGTGAGTGTCATATTTGCTTGTAGATGCTTTAGAATTGGTAGAACACTCTATGGTAGAACAAAACTGGAAGATTACTAAGTGCCATCTTACTAGAATTTTGTATGGTACTGATAGCATGTAATGATATAGATGATTATGCTCTTATATGATTTTATTATTCAATATTGAAAATGCCAAATATAAAGACGCCTATACAGCTTCTATTACTTTAATTTTCGGTCTTCATACATTCTTGTGGCAAAAGACTTGCTGCTTGTCAGCAAATATGAATCTTTGGCACCATTATTTTTTACTTGATCATTTAAGTTTAACTTTCTTGGACTAGTGATTGATATTTTCATCAATTGCTTACAGATCTATATGATGCCTGAGGGCAGAGCAAAAGGACAACTTCGTCTTTATCGCGCTGTAAAATTTCCCATGGAATGGACACTGGAAAAGATCATAATGAAAAAGCCTCTTGTTGATTCATTTATAATTCCACATGATGGGAAATACTGGCTTTTTGGTTCTGATCATAGAGGTATTGGTACAGAGTATAATGGTCAGTTGGAGATCTGGTACAGCACCTCACCACTTGGTCCGTGGAAACCACATAAGAAAAATCCTATCTATAACACAGATAAGAGCATGGGAGCCCGAAATGGAGGTAGACCCTTTTTATTTGATGGTTATCTTTATCGTGTTGGCCAAGATGATGGTGAAACATATGGACGGAGAATACGTCTCTTCAAAGTAGAAGTTTTAACCACCAATGTGTTCAAAGAAGTTGAAGTCCCGTTGGGCCTTAAAGCCTCAATTAAGGGACGAAATGCCTGGAATGGCGCCCGCAGCCATCACCTTGATGTGCAGCGACTAAGCTCAGGAGAGTGGATTGGAGTTACGGATGGGGACCGAGTGCCTTCGGGAGATGCAAGTCGACGGTTTAATTTAGGCTGTGCATCAGTTTTAGGTGTTGCAGCCCTGGTTATATTGTTTGGTATGTTACTTGGAGCTGTTAGAGGTTTAGTTCCACTAAGTTGGTGCCCACACGATTTTGGAAAGAGGAGTGATGCATCGTTGGATTGGGAACAGTCAAACTTAATTTCTTCTAGAATGAGACTATTCTGCAGCCACTTGAATAGAGCAAGCTCATCTCTCCGTACCAGAATAAAACCAAATACTTGCAGTGGAAGCTCGGTTTTAGCTTTAACATTTTTAGTAATAGTGGTGTTAATGTGTACTGGAGTTAAATACATATATGGAGGCAGTGGCGCACATGAAGCTTACCCCTTGCATGGTCAGTATTCTCAGTTCACTTTATTAACAATGACCTATGATGCTCGGCTTTGGAATCTTAAAATGTATGTCAAGCATTACTCAAGGTGCTCTTCAGTGCGTGAGGTTGTTGTTGTGTGGAACAAAGGACAACCTCCAGAATTGAGTGAGTTTGATTCTGCAGTGCCGGTGAGGATTAGAGTAGAGGAAAAAAACTCACTGAATAATCGATTCAAGGTAGACCCTTCCATAAAGACAAGATCTGTTCTTGAGCTTGACGATGACATTATGATGCCCTGTGATGACGTTGAGCGAGGATTTAAGGTATGGCGTGAGCATCCTGAACGAATTGTAGGTTTTTACCCCCGACTAGCAAATGGAAGCCCGCTGAAATACAGGGCTGAGAGTCATGCTCGGAAGCACAATGGATATAATATGATTCTAACTGGAGCGGCCTTCATTGATAGTAAAATGGCTTTTGAAATGTACTGGAGCAAAGAGGCTGCAGCAGGTAGGGAAATAGTGGACAATCTTTTTAATTGCGAGGATGTGCTGTTAAACTTCTTGTATGCAAACGCAAGCTCTTCAAAGACAGTTGAATATGTGAAACCCGCATGGGCAATTGATACTTCAAAGTTTTCTGGTGTCGCAATTAGTGGAAATACGCAAACCCACTATGCCCTTCGAAGCAGTTGCCTTGAGAAGTTCTCTGAAATGTATGGGAGCATAAGCAATCGAAAGTCAGAGTTTAACCACCGAATGGATGGTTGGGATGTATAGCCAGAAGAAAATTCTAACATCAGATTGAAGTTAGCACAGCAGTTTTCTGTTTTTCATCTTTTTCAAGCTTCCCTGTTGGTATAATTTTGGTTTTATGATTTGTCAGTTTTCCCTCCTTTTGTGAAGTTTGCTTTGGGGAGGACTCCAGGTTTAAGTAGTTTTGTCAGTCAAGTGTACATTAGTTTAGATGCATATGTTGATAGTTCTTTGTCATCCTTTTATCAGAATTGAAGATGTGTAGTTCACTTAAATTTTCTTGTTCAGATGCAGTTGTTTATAGTTCTTTGCCATATTTTTATCAGAATTGAAGTTCCCTTAGATATTATGTTTTGTTTTTATGCAAAATAGTGAAATCCATTTTTGAGCTATTTAATAGGATCTCTTGTGTTTCTTCAGTTGAAATGATGGGGAATGCAGCAGTTGTAATGGTAAGTAAATCTTACTGATTACTTGCTTATTGTATCACCTGTAACTCAAGAGTTATAGGATGGATTCTTCTTTTGATTCTTGGGATTAGCTTAGCATTCTAACTACCAGAGAAAAAAAATATTATTATGATGGAGAAAAGAAGAGAATAAAGATATTGTTAAGCACTAGCCTCTTTGACAACCTCATAAATTCATTTTTCTTCAATGAGAATGTAAAAGATGTTGTCATTCGGTCACTAAGGGGTCGTTTGGTATGATGGATAATAAAAAATAATTATGGGATAAAATTTTCGTTCCGCCTTATCGCTTGTTTAGTTACTAATTTTGAGATAAGTTATCCTAGAATTAAAAAATAATATTGGGATAACTTATACCTACCAGAGGGTGGAATTAATTCCGGGATAAATTATCCCAGGATAAAACAATAAAATTGAAAATCTCAGGATTAATATGACTTACTAAACATAAAAAGAATACTAGGATAACTAATCCCAGCATAACTAATCCTAATATAACTGATCCCGATATAACTAATCACAGCATAACTTGTATTCAAACCAAATGACCCCTTAATAGTCTAGTTAGTCATAGTTTCCTTCTTTGAAAGGTTGGTTTGCCCCGTCTTGTTCAGTCTGTCATTCTTAATCAGAGCTTTCTTAACATGATTACCTAATTAAGTAATCCTTCTTTTTGGGTAATTAAGGCCTCATTTGTTTGCACTTAATGGAGGTCTGCATCTTAATCATTCAGATCTCATACATGATGTGCGTTTGTTTTTAAAGTCTGAATCTTAATTATTCAGATCTTAATCATTAAGTGTGTTTTTTTTTTACTTAACAACCACTTAACGGGCTGAATAGGTCTGTATGATTAAGATCTGTAACAGAGACTTAATTTCATTAAGATGCTATCACATATTCATTATTAATTGCCGCCACCGCCTACCATTATCAACTACCACCATGCCACCACCACCACCATACTCAGCCACCACCGCCGCCGCCACCACCACCACCACCACGCCACCATCATCCTCAATCATAGCCGCCACCGTTATCGACCATCACCATCCACCATCCCACCACTCCGACCACCATCATTGTCACCCACAGTCAACACTTATCCACCTCAACTACCACAACCAACCACCCCATCACCATTAACAACCACAGTCGGCACCGCCTATCATTATAATCTATCACCACCTTCTTCAATCATAAGCCACTACCCGCCATTATTAACTATCACCACCCACTACCACCATCATCAATCATAATTGTCACCACTACCAATCACTACTAGCTACTAGCATGAACCACCATCATCAACCAAAACTACCACCAACCACCGCCTTTAGTCGACATTCACCCGTTAGCCATCACGACCAACAACTATCATATTTTAAAAAACTATATATTTTATTGATAGAATATTAGACTTTTTTCAAATAAAGATAAATTTTATGCATTCAGATGTTAAAATCAAACAGTCTTAATTTTTGGTATTCAGATCTTAATACACATCTTGATATATTCAGATGTGTATTCGGATTCAAATATCTTAATCTTAATACACATCTTAATATTCAGATGTGTATCCAGATTCAGACAGTCTTAATCTTAAAAAAAAACAAATGAGGCCTAAGTATGCCTTTCATTGGTATTGAGGTGTTTGTTTCTCTCATATACGTTTCAGTCAAACTAACATGGAGTTACCTAGGGGGTTAACTAGTTGTGTTTTACATAGTTGAGACTTCATAATGATAGGAGATGGATTAGAAAATGGCTAACTAGTGTTGTTTGTTAATCCAAAAGCCATCTTTTTTGCATATAAGCTTATCCACAGTTTTGCAAAAAGATACTGCAAAAGTTATCCAGTTTCTTTTGGAGTATTTATATATTTTGTTTTCGATCTTGAGCCGAAGATTTATTGAAAATAGCCTCTTTACTTTTTTAGAGTAGGGGTAAGATCTACGTACACATTGTCCTCCCAAGACCCCACTTGTCCACTGGGTTTGATGTTGTTGTATAATACCTTCACTACTAAAAAAATGGAGGAAAATCGATTGCCAAAACATACCGATATTTGTCGGTAATTGGAAAAAGTTGACCGAAAACCGACCGATTCGTGGCGGTCGGTAGTCATATGATTGGTAGAGCCAACCGACCGACTTCGGTCGGTATTTTTAATTATGTAATTAAAAAATGCACCATCTAGGAATCGAACCGGGGTCTGTACTGTGGCAGGATACTATTCTACTACTAGACCATTGGTGCATTTTATTTTAAGACTATCTTTTATTTTATTTATACTCTTTATAATTGCATTTTCGCGCGAATATAACCGACCGATGTCAGATATTAGGGTCTACCTAAAGACATCGTTAGTGATCGCGACTCTCGCTTCACTAGCAACTTTTGGACTCAGCTCTTTAAGTGCCTAGGGGCTAAATGAGCCAAAGTTCAAGTTTCCATCCGCAATCTGATGGCCAGACGAAGCGGTTCAATGGCGTGCTAGAGGAATATCTCTGGCATTTTGTTACCGGATTGCAGAAGAACTGGGTGAAGCTTCTGGATGCTGCTCAATTGTGTTTCAATTCACAAAAAAACTCTAGTACAAACAAAAGCGCTTTTAAAATTATTACCGGACAACAACCGCTACTCTCGCACACTGTGGATTCCCCAAACATGTCAATATCTAGTCGAGCTGCTAGCTTCTCGATGGAATGGAAGCGAAATTTGGAGATAGTGCGGAGCTATCTTGTCAAAACCCAAAAGCGAATGAAGAAGCATGCTAATCAAAACTGTTGCTTTGTTGAATACCAAGTAGGAGACAAAGTGATGGTGAAAATCCCAAAGCGATACTTGTTTGCAGGGGTCCATGACCCTCGCCTATTGCAAAATACATTGGACCCTTGTCCATTGAGAAGCGCATTAGGAAAGTTGCATACCGGTGGATACCCCAGCCTGGTGGAAGATTCATCTGGTCTTCCATGTCAGCCTTCTGAAACCTTTTCGGGAAGACATGGAGGATCCTTCACGGAGCCAACTCACAAATCCCAGTATTCAAGGCCTTAATTAAACCGAAAAAGGCGTGTAGAAGCTATTCTCGATGATCGAGTGGTTCATGCTTCACGGAAAGATCACCAAGAGTTCTTGGTGAAATGGCAGGGCTATGATGCAGAAAAGAATACTTGGGAGAGCGGAACAAACCTCAAAGACTACAAGAGCCTGATCGATGATTATCTTGCAAGTAAGGTGCGGAGGACGTCACCAACTCAGGTGGGGGAGGATGTCATGGGTGGCTTTCCAACCATGCCCCGTGACCCTTGGACGTGCCCTATGGCGTCCTGGCAAGTCTCCCAGCGCTTAGCGCCATGGACGGCTCCGTGGTCTTGGCCGCGCCAAATGACAAGCGCGTTTGTGCCTTTATCGCCCCACCGATAGCCCTCGCCAGTGCCCATCCACAGGCAGATGTCAACAGCGCCGCGCGCGCAGACAACACTGCGCGCACATACTCTGATGCTAAAGACAAGGTTTATGCCAACGGACCTGCTTCTACCTTGTAGGAATCTAAGTCCTTCTCATTGTAAATATAGAGTAGTTTTATTTTATGTATTTCCATTATGTCTCTCTAGCTTAGTTAGGTCAAGTCCTCTAACTTTGGTTTATTTTTTTTAAAGCATTAATAGGGGGAATCAAGCAATCAAACATTCAAGCAAGCAAATAATTCTCTGTGCTGGTGTCTCTCCCCCTCGACACCGTGTTGCTATTATGTAATAGCTTTTATTAATGCAATCAAGCTTTCTTTCATTCTCAATTCTCTTTTTTGTTCTCTCAATTGCTCTTGACATTGGTTTTCTCGCACGGCACACACAATTTCGTCTAGTGTATGGAAGGACCTCAGTTGGGGGATAGTAACTGCACGGACATCGATTACTTAACCTTACGTCACCCTTCCAAGAAATCTCAGGAAGGCACCGCGTAACAGTAAGCATGAGCGAACCATATTAGGTCTATAGTACGTAGTCATATCTTCTTGTATGACTATTTTTACAACTTAAATTCACATACTGATCACAAGATAAAAATTTATATAAAACTATATAATTTAACAAACAACATTTTGCTGGTATATTCCAGCTAAGGTCGAAAAATTAGTTTGGTGAGTAGTCGAAATATGAAAGGTTATACTTAAGTAATGTAATTGGGGTCATGTCAATAATAATTATATTATTGCCCTATTAATTTAAGGCCTCTGCCCAATTGTGAATGCAAATTTTCTCGGGTTCATCTTCAATTGAAGTTTTCTTAACCTTTCGAATACCTTACGTAAATTTTTAATGTGATCGCTCTTGTCCCCAACACATACACAAGATATATGTACATCTCACCCCCTACTAAAAAAGCTGGGGGGGGGGGGGACCAATTGGAAATTAATAATAAAATCTTACGGATATCATAACCTATGATTTGCCACCTAAGATTCTAACATATCTTAACTCTAAAGCTTGACCAATCATTTATAGTGTACTTTATTTTGAACCTAATTGAACTATTAACATCAACCCACAATTAAATCGCAGTCATAGCAGAGATTAAGATACAATTATACCGATATAGAATCATAATCTTGAGTTACAGTCTAAGGGTGCGTACCGTTAAACTCCATAGATTCAGCAGCAACAACAAACAACGATTAAGCCTGAGACCAGCTTCCCCGATCCACTTGCTACGCGCTCTCACAACCCGCAGAACTTGATTGATGGGACGTTTACCGTTACCACGTATTCAAGAGGCAGAATACGCTAGAGTTTTCTAATAGCTAGGGAAATGGGGGTTGGCCTCTATTTATAGAGAGTGCCTACCCATCACAGGCCAATAGTTATTGGGCCTCA